TCCTACTCTGAGGTCTACTAAATATAAATTGAGCTGTCTTTTATTCAAACTGCTCTCCATCCTCTCCTGGTGAATGGCTGGAAATGAAACTACAACTTGATGATACCAACTTCCTGTGTGCTCAGTGGGTCATGGAAGGCCCCCACACCGACCCACTCAATACTCACTCATACAAGCACAACATAGCCTAGAGATATGTGTGGTGCTAGACCTCAAGCTTTCTTTATACTGCAGGGACTTTTGCTCTCTTCAATTAGGAGTTGGCATTAATCTGTCTTAGGGAATTGATATTGCCTATTTTATTGACCCTTTATTAGCATCACTCACAATAAGCGCTCACCAGGAATAATGCCAACTGTCCATAATATGGTCCCTTTTCTCTCTCTTGTTCTTCTTGTAAGTCCACAAGATGGAAACAGTATCATTCCCTCAGGGCAAAGGTCAAGCTTAGGTTATAGTACTTTTATAGAAGCAATGAACTAAGGGCTTTCCCGGGAATGCAAGTGATTCCTGGTCTGATAAGTGCCAAAATACAAGCATGCTCTTGCCAGTGAAATTGTCTCTTTGTTCATTTCTTCTGTTAATAAGTCTCACCCCTTCCTCAGGGGTTCAACTTCATCTTCCTATTTATCTACATGTTGTCTACCCTTTATGCATCATTGCATTTCTAATTTCCATAAATTTCCTCTTAGTCTTCAAAAGTATCATCTTTGAATATTAACATCTTATGTGCCACCCGCTTCTGAAAACTATAAGGTTTATTTTCTGGACTATTTCAGTCACTGACTGAAGAAAGGCTTTTGACATCTTTTGCGCTGCTGTTTGTAAGGAGTGTGTGTGTGGACATGTGTACACACATGCATGCACTGCACATCTACTGATTTTGAGTGCTTCAATGGGGCAGATCTTAACTCTGTGTAAATATTTAGTAACAGTGAGTAAGTGATTGAATAGTATCCTATGCTATTGAAGCCTGAAAACAAATAACTCCTTGGGGAATATTAGGCTAATTTCTCCAGCCATTTCCAAAACAAAATTGAAGCCTGAAAACCCGAGGAAACATACAGATTCACTTTTTAGTTAGTAAACAAGATGTGGCCCCTTGCCCTTCATTATGATCTATACTTCCTACTTTCATGTAAACACCCTGATCCTGGATTGGCAAAGCTCTCAATAAAAGGTGAACCTATTGCGTCTCAATGCATACATTTTCCTGGACTTGTACTGAAATGTTCTATATCTATAGTCTCTTAGTGGCCCTGTAGGCTCCAGCTCCTTACAAGCACTGTACTGAAATGCATCAAATTGAGCTACAAAGACCTGCCATTTTTCAGTTATGCTTCCATAATCAAGATGCAGACACACAATGTTCCATCTCCTTGATCAGTCATCCAACCCAGGAACAGACATATTCATCTCACTCAGCTACATGGGGCAAACCTGCCAACTTTTTATACATTAAATGTTTAAATGGGGCTATTTATTACTGTATCTCACAAAAATGCCAGGTGTTCTCACACTTAAGGCCGAAAGTGCCTTATCCGGAACTTTAGAAGGCTTTGAGTTGTGTGTGTTTTATCTTTATTATTAGTTCTTTCAACATTGCAACTAGGAAAGAAAAAAAAAAGGGAATTGACTAGTAAGACAAAACCAAACAAAACCCCAGAAATATCTCGACAAGCTCTCACTTCTGGTTCAGTTGTGGCCTACCTAGTTCTCATTTTTTGATAAGATCAGTTCTATTACTCATACAATGGGAACATTCTCACCTATACAATTACATGGAAACCAAAGCAACAACTCAGAGATGCAAGAACTCAGGAGCAACTCTGTGGCTCTCAGTGCAGTGGGTTTAGACATAAACCACACTGTATTAGCCCACTTATTCCATGGAAGACATGCCTCCTTTTCTCTGCCCTAAAGGCTACTCTTTCCTTAGGATATTTTCTTCCTCCTCCCTGTTTCTATTCCACGATCCCCACCCCAAGAATTGCACAAATGACAGGTGATCTATTATTTCCACTGTAATGGCTGTCACGTGAAAAAGAGCAAAAATATATTTTTTTTGAAAAAGCAGAGCAAAGGACACTTTCTACTGCTGATAATCTTATGGGGTGACTCACTGGACAGCTGGTATTATTTTCTTAGCTCAATTAATCTTATTAACCTTAAGAATTTTAATTAACTTTACTAAAGTCAATGCAGGCTGCTCATATTTAGCAGTATTGTTTGGAGACATACAGTAAGAATTTAACTAGGTTGTAAAGTCTCCAGCCTCATTAACCATGCAAAAAAGTAATTAGCAATGTGTGTGTGTGTGTGTGTGTGTGTGTGTGTGTGTGTGTGTGTGTGTGTGGTGTGTTAGGGAAAACATCTGTGAAATGGATTTTTCTGTGTTGGTAAACTGTGGCAAAACTGGAGGTTATTTTCTATAGTAATATTTTTAGTCTCCTGTATGTCAATTTTCAAATAAATGGATATTAGTTTATGAATTATGCCTTAAACTATAAGCTTCTGGTCCCGTGATTTTTTTTTTGTCACAAAACATATTTAAGTTTACATTTGAGTAAGTTGATGTTCCCAGAGACCTTTATAAAAACTGCTTTTCAAAGTAATTATGAGGATACAAGAGGAAATAAATGGCTATTTGAACATATAACTCAACTTTTGATGTCCAAATATTCTTTTGAAATGTGATAATTTTTTCAGTAGGTATTAGTCTCAATTCTAATGCCCCTTTGCTGAGAAACAAACAAATTACATTTATGTCAAGTGAATTTTTCCTGTTATGATTCAGAGCTGAAAAGTTTTATGGAAGGGAGATCAGAATTCAGGCATGCTAAATTTTCTCATCACTATAAAGAATAAGTTTGCTGCATTTTATGTAGAGTTTACTCCTACACCTAAGCCATATTTATTTTTATTTTTATATTTATCCTAATGTTTCATACATCTTTTTTTAGCTGTTGAAAATTTAGGTCATAAAAATAAACTCTATCAAGGATGCAATCCTTCTCATATAAAAGGAATTCTCATGTCTGCATAATGGCTTCACAAGCCATTTAGGATTTCACCATAACCCCATGAGTTAGTTTATCATCTGAACCAGGTGATACAAAATGTTATTGTCCAGGTTTGTCTATAACTCCCATTGATTCACTGATCCAATCAATCCATGTGGCGCTTTGGCTGGTTATCGACACAAGTTGATGTTCCTCTAAACATCACAAGCAATGCAGAGTTAGATGCTAGAGCAAAAGTAACATTTATAAGTTAATAAAAGAGGATCATATGTATAAACTGTTCATTACTCTACACGATAGTCCATCTGCTTTGCCAAAATTTGTCACTGTAGGTAATTTTCTTTTCTTGAAGCAAACATTAGCTTCTCTTGATCTTCTGCTCATCATATGCAATCCTTGTCAAACCCTATCACTCCCTACACATAGGTCTAGTTCATTCATGAATTCCGAAAATGTTTACGGAACGTTAACTACGTGGCAGACACTGTGCTAACGACTGGGGTTGCAACAATAAAGAACACCCACCCTGCCCCTTGGAAGCCACATTTAGGAGAGAGAGAGATGAGGTCTTCCTGACTGTGCTTCACTTCAAGACATAGTTACCTTCCCGTGTATTTGCAGTATTCTCTTCAGATGCTCCAGCACCCTCAGTGGGCAGCATCTGGCCAGGCTGCACTATGTCTTCCATAAGCAGTTTATTACTTTTACCTCAGCTTCTGTGACCTTCCTTACACACAGCCAAAGGGGCTTCCATGGCACGTGGATAAGGCCCAGAGCCCTTCACCACAGTGTCACAGATGAAATCGTTCAGGTGTTTCAGATGCCCATGACAGAAACACAGATTGGAAAGAATTAAGCAGAAGAGCGAATGTATTTGCTTATGTTCCAGGAAGGGCAGGGTGTAGCGAGTGGGGATAGGACCAGGGCTTGATGCTGCCGGAATTTGTTCTGCCTCTGTTTCTGCTTCTCTCTGAGCATCTGTTTCACTCTCTCCTCTCGCTTTTTTGACCAGGCCTGACCATGGCTGTGGAAACTGTCCATTCACATGCTGAGAGCATCATGAACACAAATGAGAGTTTCATTTTGCCAGTTTGGAGATTCCTGGGGAAAGACTCTAAGTTGCCTCACTTATGACACTAGACTAAAGCTTGCACCAGCCCATCCTGGTGACCCACCATCACTGTGACTGGGTCTCAAATATGGTCTCCAAATATGGTCACTCTATGGATAGCCAGCCACCTAGTTTCTGTATACTGCAGAGGGCCTTTGTATTTTCTTCTGTACGAGCCTTCCTTCATGCCCTTGAGGAAAAGATGTGTCTCCTCATTCTTTCTAGTGATGAAACTCCCACATCTGAGTTCTCCAGTCAATAATTCTTTACCTCCTACCACTTGCAATAGTTCTTAGCCCTTTTTGATATCTATATCCTACTTCCCATGTCCATAGTTTCCTACTGCCTTTAAAAAAATTTATATCTCCATGTGCAGAGTCATATAACATGCATGAGATTGTAACCTACCTGAGGGCATGAATTAGTCTATTCACAATGGCTGTGTGGATTTACCTGCTCACTGAAGGAAAGAATCTAAAGAAGAGTGAGACACAATCCTATAATTCAAAGTGTAGAACCTAACTTTATGTTGACCTAGTCTTTATGTGGTTTGAAAAGAGCCCAAAATACTGAGATTATCTCTAGAAAACTTGTTTAATTACTCAAACATGCTCAATGTTTGTGGACATTATATACTTTTATCCATTAACTAATACACATATTATAACCATAGTAGTGATACATATTGTAATAGTGATTATCTTTGTGTAAGGCATATGTCCTAGTGTTTAAAAGCCAAACAATGATGACAACAAAACCCTCTTGCTCTAGCACACACCCAGACATATCAGTTGCTTGATAAACACTTTCAATTAAAAATTCTAACTATGCAAAAATTATATGCACTCTCAGTAATGATGAAATACCTTTTGGTCATCACTTGTCCCATATGACTCTTGACACAGAAGACTCTCCGTGTCTGAATGCCCACACCACATGTAGCTTCTCCATTCCAGCCAATAGTTGCATTAAGGGAAGTTACCAATGTGTCTTCAGAACAGGGGCCCCAAGGGGATGTCTCCCAGTAGAGCTGCACACAGGAATGGTCATTGCATAAACGATATTCTTGGAGGGCCTGACTAGGAGGACATGGTTTTCCACCTGCAAAAATAAAAATAAAAGAGAATACATAGTTGTTATCATTAGTGCCATAGCTGTTTTTGCTGCTTTTGCTGTTTTAATGATCTAGAAAGGTCTTGTTGACTACACCATTCTTTCCACTCTAAAGAGGCCAAGGATTTTTGTATGGAGCAACAACCTGAGGATAATATATTGCACTCCTCTCTCCTAAATAACAGGCAGAGTCCACAGCAACTAGATTATAAAATTAATTTAGTTTACTGCTCACCTTTCTGAGATAACTCCAAAGAAATCTGCTTTTCTTTTAATATTACTTTGCCTATATAAATTAGTCAGTTAAATATAATTGGGTATTAAATATAATACCCCACGACCTTGAAGTAATATTAGGTTGAACACACACACGCACACCCCCATACATGGTCTCCCTTCTCTGAAAGAGGCATTATCTTTCTCAGAGAACCATTTTAAGACATCATCCTCCACTAAGCAGTGTCTTTCACTGCCATTTCAGAAATCGAAAAATATCTGTTAAAGTTTGGCAAGAAAAAAACCCATCCTTAAACTCTGAAATAATATCTGACAATGTGCTATCCATTGGCAGGGGGATCAGACAGATGTGCATCTTTACACTCTTGGGTGAGTCAGACAGTCAAATCTCATTACTGTCTTTTCATCCCCATTTTTATACCCATGTAAAAAGTGGTATATATCTAATGTATTGATCTTTCGCTACCTTTCCACACTATAATGTTTTATTCAGTGGGCCAAATGCCCAATACTCGTGACCTTGGTTTTGTTATTCTTGTTATTTTTTTTCCCATTAGCTATTACTGACTTATTTTCTCCTTTCAGAAATGTAAAAGACAAGAAAGAGGGAGAAGCGACTGCACTTTAAGATTATGACAATCCTCATTCATCTTGACCCGGGCCCCATTTCTCAGGGTCACAGAAAAGATTCTTATTTGAAAAGGAGTTCTTCATGGCCAGTGGCCACGCTAGCCGGCTGTTCTAACTGAGCAGTAGGTAGATGAAGCCCAGGGAGGGCATGAAAGAAACAACGTGCGTGTCTGGGGACAGAGATCATTGTTATGCATGATAGGGCACAGGAACAACTGCTCCTCTAATTTGTTCTGATGTCACCCATTTAGATTCACATAGCACGCTGTAGCTTCTTCAAAGCCATTTTCACTGCCCTCATGTTTTTCCCCCTCTTAGTACACTGGCATGACAAAAGAGGAAACCAGGGCATGCAGATCAGGTAGCTCACTGATGTTACTGGGAGTTCCAAGTCAAGATGCCATGTCTCCTGATTCCTAATGTGCAGCTCTTTTTACCAGACATATCCAATTACGTTCCCAACTGCATGAGCCTTCTGAAACTAGATGTGTGTCAACCAAACTTTGCTTTCTTCTCTAAGTATGATGAAAAATAATATCCATGTGATTGCTGGCCTGTACCTAGGTACAGGCTAAAGTAATTCATGTGAATACATATGTGAACCCAGCATAGATAAACTATAGGAAAAAAGGGGGGGGAAGCGTGCATGGAAAAAAAAAAAAAACTTAGTTTGAATTCAGGGAATACAGATATCACCTACATGTGGCTACTTCATGCAATATATGAACTTTCCAATCACGGACTGGAAAAAAAATAATAATAATGTAGCTATTGAATCCAGAGTTAAAACCCTTTCTGTTACTCACCTTCTCCAGCCAATGCCAGGATAGTTCTTGTCCTGGTCTGTCTTCCATCTGAGTTTTTATTTGAACAGGACTGGGAACAGGATGACCACTCTGTCCACTCGCTCACCACACAATCCATTCGGCAGGGAATTTCACAAGCCATCCGTTCAGGAGGAGGAGGTACTGGGCACAGACTCCCTGATACATCTTCTCCTGTAATCATCCAGACCAAGACAGATGCAGATTAATGCATACTCGAGGCCAGTCCAGTAACATTTAGGCTTACTGCTTCTTACTAGGACTTCAGTTTAGCTTAGAAGACTTCACCCCGTGTCTAAACCAATAAAGTACCAAAAATGATGGTTTATTTAGCCATTCATAATATTGATGTCAAGAAAACCTGCCAGGAGATAATTTGGCATTTAGAAAAGTAGATAGTACAGAAAAACTCCCATTTGTCATCCTTCATAGGGACATAGTTGGCTTCTTCCAAGAACAATTTAGCAACAGGTGGCTGGAGATAGACATGTTATTGACAACCATATGTAACAAGTATATACTTTTCTTCAAAACAGAGGTCACAGTATTTTGTTGGCCTGAAAATTACAATTTATATAGAGCAATCTAATCTACCCTACCTTATAAAGAATAATTTTATCATTCTAATTTCTTTTGGGTACTTTCACCTCTAAATTTGTAACCTTAAGCAATATTATCACATGATGACTCTTTGTTCTTTTTGTACGTAATGGTAAATAATCTGAAACTAAACAGCAAATGAGCCTGTAGGTAAAATGATATAATGTGTTGACACAAAAGTTGAAAGCTAGTCTTAAGTTCTCCCTAATGCATTTACTGTACACCATTTGAATGCTATAATAAATTGCTAAACCAAAAATAACTATACTCAAAAGTATGGCACAAAGACACACCAAATATCAAGAATTCCCAATTTTTCTATTGACCCAGTGCCTTTTTATAAATACTATTTATATATTTATAAATACTATTTACTCTGATCTTGTACAATATCATATCATTGTACAAGATTTCTCAGAAACTGTAAAATAATGGGGGATGGTTTTTACAATTAACAGATGTTGAGACTAAAGGGGTAATTTCTAAGTTGCTTTTCCATATCTCAAATGATTACAATGATTTCTAAAAACTTTTAGAAGTAGAGAGCAGAATTGTGGTTACTAGAAGCTGGAAATGGGAAGGGAGGATAGGTAGAGGTTAATTAATGAACACAAAATAATAGCTAGATAGGAAAAATAAGGTCTAGTGGTGTACCGTAGCACTAGGTATCTGTAATGAACAATAATTTATTGTATGCACCCAGACAGCTAGAAGAGAGGAGTTCAAATGTTCTCATCATAAAGAAATGATAAAGTTTTGCAATGATGAAAATGATAATTATCCTGATTTGATCAGAACACATTGTATACAAGCATTAAAATATAACTCTGTACCCCATCAATATGTACAATCAATACATGTCAATTAAAAAAATAAAAACATTTTAAAAATAAATGAACAAAAAACTCTTTTGTTACTAATTTACTATTATTAGAATTCAATATTCCTCCTTTGGGATAATACTTCAACTCTTATTATTCCCTCCATTCACAGTCTCTTCATAACCCAAGGACACAAAGAATAGTGACACCGTTTACTCCTTGAAATAACAACCTAAAATATGGAATAACAACTATAGGAGAAAGACAGTTTCGTGTGACTTTATGGCTTTGGAGTTCTCTCATCATGATGTGTCAGACACAAAACATAACTTGCAGAGGGGACTAGGATTCATTGAGCATCTCCTTTGTGCCAGCACTGTGTTTTGCATCTACTGCTCTGGCTTAGCCTATGCTGTTGAGTCCTCCTAAGAAGCTGTGAAAGGCAGGTGTGTTCCACTCATCCACAGATGAGGGGCCAGAGGTTCAGAAAGGAAAGAAAACTTGCTCGTGGTCACACAGGCCTGAATAAGAAATCAAATCCAAACTCTCTGACGCCCAAACATCTGCTTTTCCCACTAACCATTCTGTATCTAATTCCAAGGAGACGAATATTCTTTTTCTCAGGAAGTAAATAAGACAAGCCGACAGTTAGTAAGACTGCCTGAAGGAGAAGATAGTGCATGGTTAATATCTGCATTCATATTTGTAAATGAGGACAGTCTCATTGCCCTTGAGGTACAAATAAAACTTTTCAAGCATATTATGAGAAGTAATAGAGATTCTAGCAGATAATCAAGTTGAAAGACCAGTTCCAATCATTCTCTCTTTTTAGCCTCAATCTATTTTCAGATTGAGTCTACACTGTGTGTACAAACACAAACACACACACACACACACACAGACACACACACACACACACCCTAGTAGGGCTAAGGGGTAGCACTTTCCCAAGTACACAAGCAGGCAGGCCAAACAAAATGTCCAACCTACATCTAATCAAAATTCAATTTCCCCACTTGGGAATATTATTAGCATACTTTTTACGCAAAACACATAAAAGCAATGTCTTGCAAAGAACATATTGAGGAATAAAAGATCCCCATAGGGATCTTATGGAAAAAAGTGGGAAAAGTTAAGAAGTACTGGATTAAAAATAGGAAAATTGGTATCATCACTGAAGAACTACTCAGAGTGTTGAAAATGCCAATATATGTAAAGTAAATTTCCTAGGAAGAAAATGGGGTCATCCTTTTTGAGGAGCATCTCTCTCTCTCTCTCTCTCTCTCTCTCTCTCTCTCTCTCTCTCTCTCTCTCTCTCAGAAACAGTATTTTTTGTGAATATGCTTTGAGAAAGCCCTGCCTTCAAGAAATATAAAATTATCAACTACAATTTGATGATAATGTCCAAGGCCTACGATGGGATAAAAACAGGTGAGGTTACTGTTATTTAGCACCCTAGAGCTCATGATTAATGAGTGACGAACTATAAACACATGAAAGTAAAACCAAGTCCAAAAGTAAGTGTCTAGTTGCAGATGTGTGATTCACACAGAAGATACTGTAGCAGCTCAGGGAAGAGAAGGATCTCTGGGGAATGGCACAATCCCCTTCACAAAGCAAAGAGAAAGGACAAGAATCGGTGGCGATGCGAGAGGGTACTTCAGGCAATGAAGTGTCAGCAAAGGTATAGTGATAAGAAAATACAAGGTGTTTGGAAGACAGTTAACATTGAAAGTGCGTGAGGAGAAGAGAAAACCTATGTTGGAAGAGTTTTTTGACATCAGGTTCTGAATGATTATACTGACACACACATTCTGTTCTATTTCTGCCTTCCTTAAAATCCCAGTTGCTCTGGTTTCCCGTGACGACCCCAATTTAGCATCCTTCCTAGTCATCAGACATTCAGTGCCCTCGGTATTCCCTTTGGGTGCTTGAATACTTTTTAAAGCCTATGCTTTCTTACAAACTGATATACCCATTTCCTCAGTGTAGTTAAATGTCAATACTCCCTCCAACATTTTAACAGCTTCTCTATACAGGCTAATTCAGAAATGTGGGTAAACAGACCCAATTTTCTTTACATAAGCCAAACTAACAGTCATAAACAGATTCTGCAATTCTTATGTGAGCTATTTTATAAGAAATCTTGCAAAAGAAAAGCTACACAATGGGATCCTGGCTGTAATGTATCCTACCTAGACACATTTAAGTGTCAAGGTGAAACCTAGCCTATTGAAAATATCACTGAACTTCTTTGAACTTCAGTTATTTTATTTGCAATAATGAAATGATTACATTTGTCTCTCAGGGATATTCTAAGGATTAGGAATTATTTATGCAACATACATATCAAAGCACCTAACATAACAGACTCTCAATATATAGAAACCTTAAAAAATGTTGTTTGCAAAGATGTGTACCACAAAATACTAATGGCTTTCTTCATCTGAAAAATCTAGATATTTATGTCATAGCCATGAAAAGCACTTGCTTTACCATTCACAACGTTTGTGTGCAAATAACTACAAACAGCTTTACAGATTGGTTAACATAAAATATAAAGAATATATGTAATTATCCAGATTATTTCATTGATATGATTGGCTAATTTAAACCATTCAAAAGCCAAAAATAAAACAGTTGGGCCTGACTAACCTCCTAATTATGCCCATCTACATTGGTATAATTATCTTCCCACTGTACAGAGAGAACACATCTCAAAAGAGGAGCATTTATGTTTCCCTGTTTTAATTTTTTTGGATGGATCAATGAGACCAACTGAAATCTCAGACAATCATAGAAAATAAGGCAGCACATGGGATAGAAGCTTAGCCGCTAAATGTGATTTTCACAAGTTCTGATAATCTAATGTCATAATAAAACAGAATATATTTAAAAGAGAAATTGAATTCATCTTTCAGAAGATTCTATAAAATTGCTCCTAACCCTCACGAAGCCCCCTGGAATCAATATTGACAAAAACTCTGTGTTATGTCCTCGTGGAATGGACTGACTTAACCTACTGTGATTCTGGGAATATGAAACATGGTGCTGCTTCAACCTGTCACTTAGTACTTTTTAAAAATAATTTAATATGGTGAAATTCACATAACATAAAATTAACCATTTTAAAGTAAACACTTCAATAGCATTTAGTACATTCACACTGGTGTGGAACTGCCACCTCTATCTAGTTACAAAATATTTCCATTACTCCAAAGTTAAGCCCCGTACCCATTAAGCAGTTTCTCTCTATTACCTCTTCCCCTCAGCCCCTGGAAACTGTCAATTTATATTCTGTCTCTGTGGATTTATCTATTCTGAATATTTCATATAAATTGAATCATACAATTTGTGAACTTTTGTGTCTGGCTTCTTCCACTTAGCACAATATTTTGGAGACTTATTCAGATAGTAGCATGTTTCAGTACTTCATTTCATTTCATGACTGGATAACATTCTGGGGTGTGTGTGTGTGTGTGTTCCTCTATTCATTCATCTGTTGATAAACATTTGGGCCATTTCCTTTTTTTGGCTATTATGAACAGTGTTGCTATGAACATGCACGTGCACATACTTGTTTGAGTACCTATTTTCAGTTCTTTGGGGTTTATACACGAGTGGAATTCCAGGATCTTATTCATCACTCAATTTTGTTTGCTTGTGATTCTGGGGACTGTGGCACAGATAGCCAGATGACTAGATCCTAGCTACAGTTCACACTGCTATTCTAACACATTCCCATTCCCAGTT